TGCCCAGCCTCAGAGGACTCCACCCCACCTCTGCTCATGGGCCCAGGAGCCCCATCTCAGCTCAGCCCTGGGTCTTCAGTCCCTGCCAGAGCTACATCACTGGAGTACTAGCCAGCAGCTCAACTGCAACCATGCCCACGGCTGGCCACAGACGCTGTTGATCCAGGCCTGGATGTGCAGACTGACTTCCTGACTTGGCCCCAGACCTGCCTCATTCCCACAAACTTGCCTGATGACCTGCCCTCTTGGCTGATCCTGGCTGCCATCTCCTGGGTTGTGTTGCTTGGGTATCAGGGAACATGGCTGGCTGTGTTACTGCACTCAGCTCCTGGCTCCCTTTCCCTTAAAGAGCAACCAGCCCACACTGCTCCCTTGCACAGATAACCAAAACATCTGCCCTCTGGCAGGCAACCAGGAAGGTTTGAGCTGTGCTTTCCAGTTCATTTTGAACACTAAATATGCTAACTGGAGACGATCACCAGCTCATGCTAATTCTTCTCTTTGCACAGCAGGTCTTTGTTCAACATGGCTTCATAGGAAAAGCACACTGGCTTTCAGTCAACAGTTCATCTTCTGTTTCCAATAGTAAAATTATGATCATGTTTTTACAATGACAAGTTTCTCTGTTATTAAATATGCAGCAAGATTTTGAGCAATTTTACACCCTCTTACGGCATTCTGTAAGTGCTAAAAATTTGAACAGAAATTGTACTATACTCCTTTCTACAGGAAGATGTTTTCACCATCCTAACATACACCACTGAGGATTTTAATTCTTCCATTCCTGGCACTGCAATGCCATTCCTTTAGTAAATTCTTATTTAGCTAAATTGTAATTTTACATCAGTGTCTGCAACTCATATGGTGGTAACTACATTTTCATAATAAAAATGGACCTTTCACTTACAATTCAAAAAACTGCGTTCAGGGACGTTATCTCCTTTATTTACGTATGTACTTGCTCTTTTGAGCCATATGTAGGAGCATACACTCACGTACCTACCAGAGCCAGGGGCTTTCATCATTCGAAGTGAAGTCCTTACCTCACCATGGGCATCCTGAAACTCCACCTCTATATATTCTGGTGGCAAGGCAGGAATATTAAGAGCAGACTGAGAGACAGGAGGGACAGAATGAACAAGTGAAGGTTCGGTGTCTCTAGTTGAAGCCACAAGATGGACGTCAACCGGTTTCTGTGTCGGAACATCAGAACTCCTCACTCTTTCATCTTCTAGCTTCAAGTTCTGTACTTCTGAGCTTAGTTCATGCCCAACGTGCGGGGCTGCAGAGAGCGAGCTAGAAGCAGCACTGTTGCTCATAACTTCTTTTTCTTTCTGCAGTAGAAATACTTTCTCGAGGGCAAGCCAAAGTCCATCAATCCAAGGATCAACCACTAGTTCCAAACTGGGAGGGAAAAAAGGGAGGAAAAAACACAAAAGAGAAAGGAATGGTTGACTTATTGTGACTTTCTGGACTATTAATTTACAAATAATGAAAAGACCACAAAAGCTAAAAACACTATTCATTTTCCATTTTTAATATAAACCTGCAGCTGTTACCAAGATGACTTTTTTGTTAAAAAAAGTATTTCCATTTAGCTACTACCACTACGTAAATTTATGGAGTCTAAAGTGTGTAGCAGCCTCGCTGCTCTTCCAGTTTCTCACTTTTATTTTCTTATGCTGAACTTTATGACAGGAAGTTCTAACTTTTCACTGTGCAACAGCAACATCAATAGTTTACACTAATGTTCCTTTTTTTATTACTTTAGAACATAAGATACAAGTTTTATGGTTATGGTAATGTTTGCATTCAATTGTCTCATATCATCATGCACAGAACCAATATAATCTGTAGTTCAAAATAAATAAGCCAAGACTGCAGCCTACTGGCCAGAAAGAGGAACAGAGCACGAAAGGAGTTGTTTTCTTACATCATTCCTCTACAGCAATCAAAATAACCTTCTTACATGATTCCTTGACAGTGATCAAAAAAAAAAAAAAAGGCTGTTTTACAGAAGAGAGAAAAAAATTAAAAAACATTGTAGGGTTTACCTACAGCAGCTATGCTGCAAGACATGAGCTTGGATAAGAGTCTGATGTGCATGTAGAAAGAGATCCCATTACCTAGTACTACACATACTGGGAACTGGTTTTATTTGCTTCAGTAAGCAGACTAAATTTTTAAACCCCTTAACTTATTATGAATTACTTAAATTTCTAAAACTGCTAAACACTCTCAATTTTTCCAGGCATTACAGATGTTTGTTCACACTTTAAAAATGGAGTTTCATTTAATAGCAATTGAGATTGAAAAGGCATACTGTGTTCAGACAGGACTCACTCCTATGAGGTGCTGAGTATTAAGGTTCAACTGATTTCAAATAGTTCAGAACATTTAGCCAAATTCACAAGTGGTTATTGCAACTTGAAGAAATAAAATCCAAACTCATTCAGCTCTTACCCTACACAATCATCTGCTAATCCCGTGCCATAGAAGTGCTGAGCACCGAGTGCTTGAAGTCTTCGGTCTACTGTCTTTCCACCATTACAGAAGAACGTGTATTCTGAATCTCCCAAACCTAGCAAATTCAAGGAAAGAGAAATGATGTCAATCAGCCAGTCACCCAGGCTACAAGGACAAAGATCTGCAAGACAACACAGGATTTTCTTTCACGCAAACAGAAGGAACCTGCTATAGCAAAGTGCATAATACCAGAGTACTTTTACGACCTACAAAAAAAAAAAAAAAAAACCAACCAAAATTTTTGCCAAAGTAGAGCTAAAAAAGTGTTTCCTCCTTCACAAATGTAAGACACAAATTCTTCTGTGAAAACACTTCGCTTTCAATATTTCACATTTCTGAAGAATGTTGTTTTAGTTTGAGGCTTTTAAAGAACACAAACTCCCTCTTACAGAAAAAATGTAAGGAACTGAAATAATTATAAAAAGAGTGAAACTGATAAACTGTATGTGAATTATCAAAAGAAATTATCTCACC